AATGAAACTGATAAGAAAATATGCAGGACCTATAAATAGCTCAGAAAAATTCAACACCACCACAAATCAATTGTTAAATGGGTAAAAGGAGGCCAGTGTGGTAGCATAACAGGCTAATCTTCCACGGCTAATCTCATATTGGCACTGGTTCCAACTCCAGCTACTCCACTCCTGACCCGCACCTTGATTATGTCCTGGGAAAGCAGAGGAGGAGAGCTCAAGTTCTGGGTCCCTGCACCTATGTGGAGAGACCCAAGCAGCAGCTCTTAGTTCCTGGTTTCTAATTGGCTCAGCTCCTGCCATCATGGCCATTTGAGGAGTGAACCAGGAGGTGGAAATCTCTGCCTCTCCTTCTCTCAGTAAAACTGCTTTGAAAAAAAAAATCATTAAAACAATAAATTAGGAAAAAAAACAAAATGGGCAAAAGACATGATCAGGCATTTTTCAGAGAATGACATACAAATGACCAACAGACGCATGAAAATATGCGGAGAATAACTAACCATCAGTGAAGTACTAACAGAAAGGTTTCACTCCACCTAATTAGAATGGCTATTGTCTAAAACTCAAAAACATCAATGAATTCTGGGGAGAATGTGAGGAAAAGATACTATAATCCACTTTTGGTGGGAATGTAAACTACTATAACCATTGCAGAAGACATTATGGAAAGTCCTCAGAGATCTGAAAACAAATGTAGCATATAACTCAGCCATCCCATTCCTAGGAATTTACCCAAATAAAATGAATCAACATTTGAAAGAACTATATGTGTTCCTATTGTCACTGCAGTTCAAATCACAAACACAAAATACAGGATCGACCCAGATGTGTATCATTTTGGACTGGATTTTTAAAAATATGATGTATATACACTAAGGAACTACTCAGCTATAAGAATAAAATACTGTTGTTTTCAACAAAGTGCACACAAGTACAAATAATTACCATTAGTGAAAAACACCAGCCTCAAAAACACAAATGTTTTTTTCTGATGTGTGGCAGTTAAGACAGAATAAAAAATGCATAGGAATGAAACTGTCATTTTGGGATACGAGTATCATTTTGGGCTCTTTTTCTGTGGAAATGGATCTTCTACTGATTACTTGTTCAAAGTTAGGATTTGTTAAAAGGGAAGCCTGTAAATATAGAGAATTATGTCTTAGAAAAAAGCTCCTGAAGAGAGGGAAGTTAGGGGAGGAGACTGGGAGGAAGCAAGTGTGACAGAAGTGGAATTATCTCCTGGTACTATATGTATGAAATGCATAAAATCCAAGTTCTGCATTAAAAAAATTAAACTTTAAAAGGCACAATAGTAATAGAATAGGGTGGATACCCAGTAGCAATAGAATTAGAAAATAAGCTAGTCCAGAATCTGGGGATGAGAAAGTATAAAGTTTTCTCTGGCAAGATCAAATTGTTCTGAACTTTAAATACCAAGTCTGTGTTTTGAATGGTTTCATCAGGAGAATGTTTAAATGTTTGAGAAGATAGGTATGTTTACACTGCTTAGAAATTAAAGTATATAAACATGTATCAAAATATGGTATGATACTGCATAAAATTATACTTTTAAAAACATGCAAGTTGGAAACATGAAATTATTACTATCTATAGATTATATATTTATACAAAAGTTTTCACAAAAACACTACTAAAAGGTAAAAAATGGATTCAGTAGAGAAACATTTTCTAGGGACTGGCACTGTAGCATAGTAAGTAGGCTAAGCTTCTATCTGCAGTGCTGGCATCACATAGAGGCACTGGATCCTGTCCAGGCTGTTCCACTTGGGATCCAGCTCCCTGTTTGTGGCAGAAGAGGATGGCTCAGAACTTCAGGCCCCTACATTCATTTGGGAGACCCAGAAGAAGCTCCTGGCTCCTGGCTTTGGATTATCTCAGCTCAATCCATTGTAGATATTTGGGGAGTGAACCAGTAGAAGATCTCTATTTCTCTGTTTCTCTCTCTAAGTCTGTCTTTTAAAAAAATGCCCTATGGTTAACACATAAAGATAGATTATATTTCTGTGTCTCAATAATGAACAATCTGAAAATGAAATTATGGAATTAATTCCACAGGCAATATATCAAAGATAATAAAATGCTTAGAATTAATGTGACCAAGGAAGTAAAAGGCATACACAATAAAACTGTAAAAGGTTTCTAAAATAAAAGATATAAATAAAATAGCACTATTTTCATGGATTGGAGTCTTCACATTGTTAGAATGTCATTATGGTTTATAGGCTCTGTGTATAACCTGAGGATCAGTGATCTTTCTACTTACTATCTACTGAATTCATTATTTGTAGAAGAACATGCTTGTAAGAAAGTTGAAAGCACACATCATTGCAAAAATTGAAAGAAAAAATAAAAAGGATGAGGGAAGCAGAAGTAAGGGAGGGGAGTGAGAGAAATAGGAATTATTTCTTAAAAATGTATATATAAAATACATTAAATCTGTCCCATTTACATAATTTTAAATAGTTATAAAAGATAATAATACTACCCCAAAAGATCCACAAATCTAACATGATTTCTTTTAACATTTTAATAACATAGGATGAATATTTAACATCACAATTCTGATGCCACTTGTGACGTCCTCTTTTCATATCAGAATATCTGAATTAAAGTTCTGGTTCCAGCTTCCTGCTCATCAACACTCTGGCAGGTAGGAGGCAATGGCTCAAGTAGTGGGCTTCCAGCCACCCACAAGGCAGAATCAGAGCAGTCCTGGCACCCAATCCCACAACTACAGGCAGGTGAGAAACAAGCAAGCGGACAGGAGATCTTTTTCTGCCTTCTTTCTCTTCCTATCCCTACCATCTTCCTTTCCATAAATAAATTAAAATAGGATTCCAATGATATTTTTGCCAAGATACAGATTCATCCTAAAATTCATATGGAATTATAAGGGATCTGAAAGCATCAAAACAATCTGAAAATAGGGGAAAAAAAGTTGGAGAACTTGCAGGTCTTGGTTTCAAAATTACAAGGCTATAATAATAAAAACACTAATTCTGCTATGAAAACAGACATGCAGAACAACAGAATAAAGATCCCATAAATAAACCCTCCAATATATAGCTAATTAATTTTGCCAATAGCACCAAGACCATTCAATGGGGATTCTAAATAAATAGTGCTAGGAAAACTAGATACACATACAAAAATGGTGTGAAATTAGACCTGTACTTAATAAAATTACATCGCAAAATAAACTCAAAACTGATAAAACAATAAAAGTATTAAAGGAAAATACAGGACAAAAACTTCATAGCATTAGATTTCTCAGATAAAATACCAAAAACATTGGGCAAAATAAACCCAGATTTTCATGAATTATTTAAAATTATTGCACATCAAAAGACAATTAAAACTGGCGTAAGTGTAAAATGTATAACCAACATAGAAAACATTATGGTGGTTTTTTAAAAATACAAAGTAAAAGTACTCCAGCAATTCTACTTCTGGGTGCATATACAAATGAACTGAAATGAAAGTCCAGAAGGGATTTTTTAAAAATACATATTCATAGTAGCATTTATATTACAACAGATAAAAACAATCATATAATACACAAAAGTGGCCCAAATGTCCAAGTGGATAAAAAATGTTTATACAAACATCTCTTAAAAACAAGGAAATTCTAACATTGCAAAAGCTGATAATTCTTGAAGATATTATGCTAAAGGAAATTATTCAGATATGAAAAAGGCATGTACTGTATTTCACTTGTGATATGTAGGTTCTTTAAAATGCTCATGAAAATGCTTATTATGAAATAACTGCACACATGTAAAATTCTTACACCAAAATACACTTGTCTTTTACATTAAATTTTTCAAAAACTTTTGAAGTGCTCTCCTATCATGAATTCATTCAGTAACACACAGCTACACTTAAGGAAAAACTTAAGGCACACAACTACCATATGGTCTACCAATCCTGGGTGTTTATACCAGAGAAATAAAAATGAAACATAATACAAAAACTGCATATATAGATGTTCAAAACCACTTTATTAAAAATAACCAAATGAGACATGAGCTAAATATGTTTAAACACATGGTTAAATTGTGTTATATCCATACCACTAAATATTACTCAGAAATAAAAAGGAACGTACAACTGGTGTATAGTCAGCCTGTATTGGATGAATTAAAGACTTTCTGAACTGGATCAAAGGTTAATGCTGTTTCACGTTCAAGGGTCCAACCCATCTAAGGATGAAACATACTTGAAAAACAGTTTGCCAAACAATACATAACACTATACTCATATGAAATTACGGAAGTGACCATTACTGAAATAAGGAACAGATTAACTGATGTTAGAGTCAAGGGGGAGAGAAGGGGATTTGGAGAGACAGGCTGTGCATATAAATAGGAAACAGAATATTTTTGGTAATAAAAACGTGATTTCCAAGTTGTTGAGAGGAAATGGGTTAGAATGACATGGAATTTCACTGTACTTTCTCTTACACTATGTGTGTGTATATATATAAATATTTACATGTAAATATATATTTGTACATATTATGTAGTAAATGCCATATATACAATATAATGCAACTATTTCAAAATAAGTTTAATTCAAAAAATTATAATACCAAAGGCACATATTACAAGAAAATCATTGTTTCTACCATAAGTCACTTCAAAAATACTCAAAATCAAAGTAAGAAAAAGGGAAAAATTAGAAGGCAAAAAACAATAGAACACAGCAAAATAAAACCAATAAATACAAGTTTATTTTTTTATGAAAATCAATACAAGTGCTATAATTTTAGCAATATTGGTTATGAAAAAAGGTAAATTAAAAATTGTAAGAATTAAAGAAAGGACATTAATACTGATCTCTAAGAAATTGAAAATATACCAATGCAATTTACAATGTGAATTTTTACAATAGTCACTCATTTCTAAAGAAACAAATTTTAATTGTTCATATATTTTACTTATCTAAATGCTGAAGAAACCACAAATTAAGGATACATTCTTATAGCACCTGATCTTGTTCCAATAGCCAAGATTTTCTGAACTGGATCAAAGGCTAATGCTGTGGGTTGGTAAGGAAAGCCATGTCGAACTGTCTGAAAGAGAGAAAACAGTAAAATAACCAATAGGAAAATTAAAATTAAAATTACCATACAAAATATCATTATATACCCACAATGACTAATTTTAAAAAAAAAGAAAGCCAAATTTAAATGTAGACAGAATACAGAGACACCTAAACTTTTATACATTGTTAGCAGAATTGTACAATGATGCAACCATTTTGCAAAAATATCGAAGTTTCTTGTCAAACTAAATATATACCTGTTCAATGACCCAGCAATTCTACTACTAAGAATGCACCCAGGAACATTTAAAGCATATAGCCACAAAAAAAAAAAAAAACCTACATAAATATTCTCCTAGCAACTTTATTCACACTGTAAAAAGTTGGAAAGAGTCCAGAAGTTCAACAGTAGAAAAATGGAAAATCTACATTATAATCATACAATGATCTGCTACTCAAGAATTACAATATAAATTCTGTTTATAGAGGTAACACAAATGATTTCCAAAAACATTATGCTATCAAAGTGTTTATACAGTTTGAACACACTTATACAAAGTTGCAAGAAAGAAAAAAAAAAAAAAATCACAGCAGAGCTTGCCTAGAGGACTAACTACAAAAAAGGGGGTATAAAAAAACCTCCTTTTCAACAGTGCTTTGGACAACATGTATGTACGCATTAGTGAAAACATCAAACAGTACAAAAACATTTTTATGTAGAGTGTATCTAAATAAAAGTGAGTAAATAAGTATTACAAGCAAATAGTGACGTATTGTTCATGTTATATACTCTAAAGTATTACGGAGTAATATGTACCAACATATCCAAATTGAAAATTCATCAAAAATAGTATAGATAGCTGGGTAGAGGAACAGACAAACAAAATGGAGAGCTTATAAAAATGTACCAAAACACAGAAATAAATATAATACAAGAAGAGTAGGCATTTGGTCTAGTGGTTAAGATATTCATGTCTCATATCAGAGCATGAAGTTTGATTCCAGCTTCAGCTCTTCACACCAGTGTCTGCTAATGCATACCCTGTAAGGCAGCAGTGCTATTCCAAGTAATTAGACTACCAATTCTCACAAAACAGATTTGGATGATGTTGCTTGCTGTTGGTTTCTGCCCTGGTGGCTGTGGCCATCTGAGGAATGCATAAGCAAGCAGATTTTTATTTCTCTAGGTATATCTCAAACTTTTTAAAAAAGATTTATTCATTTTTATTGGAAAGGTGGATATACAGAGATGAGGAGAGACAGAGCAAGATCTTCCGTCAGATGATTCACTCTCCAATTGACCGCTACGGCTGATGATGATCCAAAGCCAGGAGCTCTTCTGGGTCTCCCATGCGAGTGCAGTGTCTTAAGGCTTTGGGCCGTCCTCGACTGCTTTCCAAGACCACAAGCAGAGAGCTGGATGGGAAGCAGGGCCGCCGGGATTAGAACCAGTGACCATATGGGATCCTGGCCTATGCAAGGCAAGGACTTTAACCACTATGCTATTGCGCCTGGCAGGTTCCACTAAAAGAGGTCCAGGTGGCCGTCAGAACTAACAGCCAGCAGGTTCCAGCAAGATCAGCACCACCAAAAACCTAATTATTTAGGACACATAGTTTATCCCTAATCATGGGAAATGCTCAAACCAAAAATGGGAGACAGGTTGTGCAGACAACACTGCAAACACAGCATGGGATCACAGGAGGTACAGAATGTGAACCAGGAGTTGGGGATTTGGAGTTTAAGCCTCAGAGCTGTGTTGTCTGAGATAAAAAAGAAAGGGGTTCTGTTCATTCTCTCGGAGCTACACTGGCAGCAAACAATAAAAAATGTATATAGTCCCTGAATATGCTACCTTCATATGTCCTAGATCACAGTACTGGGACTTTTCTAGCAAAACAAAAACAAAAACAAAAGCCAACAGTAATACCCATACAAGCATAATGAGGACCAGCAGTTGCTTGATCTATGCTTTGTGGAATCAGAACTGTTGATTTTAGTATTGCAAACTTTGGACTAATTCACTGTCACAGTAACACTCCATTTCAAATAGTTGGTTACTACTATCCCCAACATCAGGTTCCCACCCTGTGAAACCCACTATACCCTGCAACACATGAACTGTAACAATCGGCACTAATTCCTTGAATGTCACTGGAATCTATCTGGAGGACCCAAAGGAAAATATACCTGTTAAGGGAAAATCACTTGTATATTTTGTATCACACTACAGGGTTGGAGCAGGGCTCCCTGGGATTGGGGGTGTTGGTGTTATAAGCCCTATCTGCAATAGTCTCTCCTAGCAGGGCACAAGCATAGGTGCCACAAGCCCAAGTATCATTCACGTTTGCCAGTGTGATAAGAGAACATTGTAGAAATTAAACAGGCATTGATGATCAATGGGACATTGAAGAAATTAAAAAGGAAACCAAATACTTTCTTGAAATAAGTGATAACAGACAGCATATTGAAACCAGTCAAAGCAGTTTCAAGAGAAGAAGTTCTACCATTAAGCGTTTTAATTACAGAGAAGAAAAATGTCTCATATAAATGACCTAAGGTTCAAACTCAAAGATTTAGAAATGTTAAGAACAAAAACCCAAAATCAACTGGAGGCAAGAAATAAGGATCAAACCAGATATAAATAAAATTTAAGTTTTAAAAAATACATAAGATCAATAAATAGCTTTTTTTGAGAAGATAAGCCTTCTACTAACAAAAAATGAGAAAAAATTTAATAAAATTAGAGATGAAAAAGAATGCAACCAACACATTGAAATGTAATGCTCATAAGCAACTACTTTGAAAAACTATATGCTAACATATTGGAAAAACCTCAAAGAAATCAACAAATTTCCAGATGCATATATTTATAACTTTCCAAAATTAAATCAAGAACATGTTGATAATCTAAACAGATCTATAACAAGCAATGAAATTTAACCAGTTATTAAACCTCTCATAAAGCAAAAGTCCAGGACCTGATGGTTTATTAATGAATCCTATGAAACACTTAAAGAGGAATTAACTGGAACATTTTTCAAACTTTACCAAAATACTGAGCAGGCTGGAACTCTGCCAAACACTTTTGAGACCATCATCATTTGATACCAAAACTGAACAAAGTACAACACAAACAGAAAACCACTGTGTTCTTTGATGAATACAAATGGAAAAATTCTCATCAAAATGTTGTAAATTGTTGTTGATGTTGTGTTGGGGCTTTTAATTGATCGGAATGATATTCTGCCAGCTCTACCTTCAGACCAGAGATGGTCTCCCCAAGAAACCGTTGAATGCACCTGAACAATAAGATGCTGGCCTCAATGCCTGGTTTATGTGTGCAAAAAAAGAATCTTGACTGAATTTGAACTGTAATACTGCAACAAGGTGGAGGAATCCAATATGGGGGGAGGGCCCGGAGAGGGGTTGGGGGAATCCCAGAGGCTATGAAACTGTGTCACATAATGCAAAGTAATTAATGAAAAAATTTCTTGAAAAAAAATAGCAAACCAAATCCAAAACTACCTCATAAAGACCATGCATCATAATCAAGAGATATTTATTTCAAATATGCAATGATAATTCAACATTCTCAATGTAAAAAATCACATCAATAGAATAACAAAAACCATATGATGATTTCAATAGATGGAGACAAAGTATTTGATAATATTTAACATCCCTTCATGATAAAAACTCTGCAAAAAAACAGGTATAAAAAAATATATCTCAAAATTACAAAGGCTACATATGACAAACCAATAGTCTATATAATATTGAGCAAAGAAAACCTGAAAGATTTTCCTCTCAGATCTGGAGCAAGACAAACCTTTGAAGAAAGAATTCAAGGCCACAATACAACTGAATGATATTCCTTGCTCATTGATTGAAGTACCAATGCCATTAAAGCATCTGAATGGAGCAGGTGGGCCACATGCCTGAAACCAGGGTCCTAAAGCAGCGAGTGGGCAGGCTGGGGGAATCTCAAGTCCTGGCAAGGCCACACTCACAGCACACTTCCATGCCAGGAACCTCACCTATTCTAGGCAGGCCACAACCATAGCATTCAGGGTACTAGTTGAGGGGCCTGAGGCCCGGGTTCTGACATAGGAATGCAGAGAGCATTTTGCAGGCTAGGGGTCTGACGAGTACTTTGCCACCATGACACTGAGACCAGGAGACTGATGCCACAGTCCTAGGCAGGCCACACCCACAGTGCTCCACCTTGTTGGCCTGTGAGTGGCAGGTCATGGGCTTGATGGGTACTGAGTAAGCATAACCCCAATATGCCACTATGCAAGGCCAGGGTTAGGGTTGAGGGTGACTACTGATGGTCTTTAGCAGGCCAGGATTTAGACCCTGTTCGTTGTAAGCCACTACACTAGTCTGGGAGCAGCAGATCATGAGCCTGACAGATTACAGATAAGCCATATTTGCAGTACATCACCAAACTAGCCCCAGGCCCTAATGCAGGGTACTGGCAGAGGAGGAAGCCCATTGAGTGTCTTTACCATTGCCAAGAACCCCAGGCTTTCATGTCTAGTTGGTCTCAGATGCAATAGGATCTCCAATCTCAGAGACCAGAGCCCAAGGGTGTGTGTCATGGCATCAAAGCACACAGCACATGTTATGCTGCTTCCGATGCTGATTCCTTTGCAGTAGAAATGCCCAAGAGTACAAGAACTATGAATCGGCCTGCTTTTGTAAACAAGCTGAGGGTTTGGATGCCTCTTCAAAAGACAAAAAGGTAACTGGAACATTTGGTTTTGCCATATCAAGGCCACTAAATTTCAAGGCATACATGTTTTTTCCTATCTCTTCCCTTGATCCTCTATGGAACTGTTTGAGGTATGGGAGAGCTCCTTGATGAGTTCCTGCCATAAAATAATAGTAGATAATGATGTACTCCATGAAACTAAGTCTGGAAGCCTGATTTCTGACATGCAGGGCAGGGAGGAGTCTGTGCAGCAGCTGATAGAATCTGTCACCTTTATGTGAGAATGGTATATTCACTCTAGGGCACAA